CACTTACCACAGGACCTGTTGCTTAGCGGCTATCGACATACACACGGACTTGCTGCATAAGGCACCAATTTCCAGACAATTTACCGATTTCCAGACAATTCATGAAGTTCTCATCTCTCCTGTTGGTTTCCATCTCTGGTGTGAACTGTCATGTGATAAAATGTGATTTCTGTGAGGTGTGAGATGCTGTGTGAATCATGGGCTCACAGCACTATTTTCGTTCTGATGACTGGGGGATTTCTGCGGACCTCCAAAGAATTCCTTGTTCGGAGGGCGACCACAATGTGCAGGCTGGAGGAATTTAAGGGCAGGTTTGGTGGTTTGGCATAGTGTGACCCAACGACCCCCCAAAAGAGGTGCCATGCGACCCATAGATCCCCTCAAATAGGGGTTTGGGTTGTTTGCTGGTCCATGTGACCATGCCCTGAAGGGCATCACAGAAGGTGCTACATGCCCAGTTGGGCGATGTACATAATAACCGAGGATCCGCAATGTGATAAAAAGGACTGCATGGACAATGCAGTGCAAGTGAAATCTCAACAAGCAGTGTACATTCTGATGCATACAAAATGGTGCTTTATAGCGCAGGGAAGACTTAGATACAAGTCCTGACCTGACCGAGACTGACCTCTATCACGTAATGCAAGATGGCGTAGCAGAATGCTAGAGTATCAATGACTGGCCCAATCAATGTTGCAACGCAGACTAAACATACATCATTCTCATCACAAGGTGTGAGGAGACCTGGCGCTATACACAGGAAGAAGACGCCAGGCCCTGATCATGCACAGACGAAGAGGAGGGGAACAGACGAAGAAGAGGGGGAGAGATGGGAATGTCGTCAACACCAAGTCTTTGTCACAAGTCCCAAATAATCCCTCGTCAGAATGTCTGAAGCCCAAATGTTGAGTCTGGATCCAAATGTCACCAAGCTCTCTCTTTCTCTCGTAGTCTGCTGATGCAGTGAAGTCAGGTAGCGAGAGGGTGAGAAGGAGATGGTGGACAGAAGAGGAAGAAGAAGAACTCTCTCTCTCTCTCTCATATGCCAGGTACTAACCTGTGAAGATGGCGCTGTGCTGCAGGTACCTCGAAGGCGCAGCTGGAGCTATGGCGCTGCAGGTAAGTATCCCTGGCCTCCACCCAATCTCTCTCTCTCTAGTACTACTCTAGCTCCTATGGCGCCCAGCGCTGAAGACTACTGCTAACGCTACTAGCGCCCAGCGCTGAAGACTACTGCTAGCGCTACAACTACTCCTGCAGCGCTCCTCCAGAGTGCTGCTGCCGAATCCTGAAGACTACCTCCTGCCTCCTGAACTGCACGTGAAGTGCCTGGGAAGTACCTAGGAACTACCTGCCGGCCTGCAGGGCGGGCCAGTCCTATATAGTGCTGGCCCGTCCAGGAGGCTGCTCTAGCCAATGCCGAAACGTGCCAGACCCTGGCGGTGAAGCTCAGCCAGGGGTTGTCTTGAAAACAGGCCCGAAATGGCGTGTGCTAAAACCCTGGTTTGTTGCCTGAGTTTCAGGGCGGGTCGGACTGATGAGGGCCTGAAAATGGCCCTCAGTTTCAGGCTGAAAACACTCAGGGCCGGAAAGGCCCTGATTTAGCCTGAAACGACACAGGGCCTGTAGGCCCTGTTTT